GACCCTGAAGAAATGGTTCGTCCAAGTTCGAGAAGGCAGTGAGCAAAGCGGCTACTGGTGAGAACAACACCGAATTTTTAGAACAATTCACACAAATCCACAGTGGGGTGTAGTGCTCCTGGCAACGTTGAGTCAGCTGTGATTGGGCGGAAGTTGTTAAGATCGTACTGCGGTCCTTTTCTTTGTGAATGAGCAGCGTAGCGGAGCCTCCTAGGCGCTCCGGACTACTCCTTCGCGCAGTATGCAGTCGAACAACACGCGGAGAGAGTCCACGCTTGCCTGCCTCGGTGCGCTCTTTACCTATACGCCTATGGTCCCTATTAATGCAACAGAACATTTCAGGGCTAATCTGGCTTCGCTTCCTGAAATAAGTCGCGAAATATTTGCTAAAGCTTGTTTGTTCTATCTGGCTCACGCGTTTTCAGAGACGCAACCTCATAACCACCAGTTTAGCCCACCCTATGCGCACCCACTTTCGATAGCCAGGTTGACCTGTCGAGCGTTCATTGCTAACTCACATCCAGCTCGAATACCGCCAGCCTGACCTTCACTTATCATTACTTATCATCAGAAAAGGTTCACTAGTATCAGACGCGTCTATGTAGAGGGCACAAAGGTGACATATACCACAGCAATTCTGAGAAGGATAGCATTTTTCATTATGATTTTCTAGCACATATTAAAAATATTGATTAATCCTTAATGTTATCATTTTCCCTTTCACGATATCCACTTCCATTATGAAATTCTTACGCCCTTCTTCAAAAGCAAATTAATGTCTTCAGCAATACGACGTCCACATAGGAGAGGCCGCTCATAAGGAATTATGGGACCACATCATTGATAGAAGGTCATGATATTGTAAAAATGACAGCTCATGGGTTCGTTTGCGTGACTATTCTTTATGATTTCTATGAGATTACATGCTTATTTAGTTCGACACCACAAGCGAAATTTGAGGACAAAATGCGAAGTGCTCTACAAAATTTCAAGCCCAAGTCTGCTCAGGTAAGAAGGTGAATCAGCTTCTCACAAGGAAAAGTATTTCATACTCGCAGTGCCAATGCTTCAGATTGCAATGATAAGTACTGCTAAGTATTAGGTACTACAACGTATCATTTCCTCAAAGGCACATCATCATACTATATGTGAACCCAAGTTTGTTTGTCGGTCTTCCCGCCACAAGTATGTAAGCACTTTGTATCTATTGGCAGGAAAATCACTTGGGGAGGGCGGGTCAGGCGGGATTGGTAGCGCATGAGCCATGCTGTGCGGGGCAGGCATGGGCCATGAAAACTCCTCTAACGATGGGTAGGGCATGCATCCGATGAGAGATGCCGACGACAAAGTAGGTAGTCCAATTTTTTCCAGAACCCCCCAGAAAACATCTGCCAACTCTACAAAAATCTGGAATTGTTTGAATCCGGATGATTTGACGGTTGAATACGCCTTCTTGTTGTTATGTAGAAATAAAAGCAGGGTTATCACAAGTGAGCTCTAACGCTATATTTGATAGATATTCACCATTATTCAGAAATAGAAATAGTTTAGCGATTCAATATTTCTGGTTTTGTTTGATAAAAAGCTAGGATTGAAACGTGTTCATTTACTGAGGACATAGTTGAGCTGGATCGTTCGTCGAGATAGTGGGATTAGTCCCACCCAATTGTCTTATCGCACTCCCAGAAGGGTAAACTACTCCAAAAACATATTCTATGCCAATTAATTCACAAGCTCGCCGGTGCTCACAAGGGGGTCTTGCAGGACAATGGAGTGTTTTTTTTTCTGGAACGGTTTCTTGGATGTTGTGAAGGCTCATGTGAGGAACACAGAACCATGGTCCATTTTTCCTGAACGCCCCAGGAATGTCAAAACAGCGGGAAGAAATGGTCCAAAGTTCGATCCTCCGTGATGACAAATTTTTGCAATTCATGTTGGCGCCTCCAAATTGCCGCAAAACACGACAATGACATCTATTCGACGATGCCATTTGGCGGCAATCTGGGGGCGCCAAACTATATTGCAAAAATTAGTCATCACCGGGGATCGAACTCTGGACCATTTCTTCACCACTGTTTTGACATTCCTGGAGGCGTTCAGGAAAAATGGATCATGGTTCTGTGTTCCTCGCATGAGCCCCTACAACATGCAGAAAACCATTTCGAAAAAGCGCTCCATGTCCTGAAAGACCTCCCTTGTCAGGGCAGTCCTCTTTATATGTGAGTCAGGCCCTTTACTTCGCAAAGTATGAAACACTCTACTGCTAACGTGGACGGCGAAACGAATTCGATATGGCTCACATCCCAGGCCTATTATCAGCTCTTAACTCAGTGTCGATTGCTATCACCCATCACTTGCGGCTCCGTCCCACTTCTCACTACACGTTTGAATACAAACTTGTACATATTATACTTTCGGCGCGACCTGCGTAACGCCTCTCCCCAGTTCTTTGCTTCCACCAACTATCTATGTTACCGTTCCGTCACATTTGATTAACAGTTCGTGAATTCCGAGTTTGAGCACTCTTCGGCCAATAGGAGCAAGGTTATGAACTTGTAGTCAGACAAACACACACAACCACTTAACGTATTGTATGTATAGTGAGATGCTTTGATGTATT